TTTTAATTCTGGCTGAGCTCTCCCCTTTTTTTTTTTCTTTTTTTTCTTTTTTTTTCTTTTTCTTTTTTAAAATCTGCTGCATGTTTCCCAAAGCTAAGAATTAAGTATTTCTCCCCGGTTACACTCTTTGGATTTCTGCCAGCATCACCTTTTAAGTTCAGTGGGGAAAAATTAAGCCTGGTACGTATTGTATGAACTGCAGCTTTATTCTAAAGTACCTCTAGATGTCTAATCATTTTTAACCAACTTTTCCCTCCTCCACACCTCACCATGTTTCCTTCCCCCCCACCCCCAAGCCCTTCTTTTAAAAAAAAAAAAAAAAAAAAAAGAAACAACCAAGAACAAAACAAAAAATCTCTACCCCACCAATGTACAGGCTTTAACTCAAGTGTTTTCTTAACAAATAGTCTGCAGTGTTTTCACTTTGGCCACTGTGAAAGATGCAGGCATAGAGAAGGGAGTGTTGGACTAGCATGTATTAAAGAAAAAGGAACATTAACATTGCAGATCTCTCTCAAAAAGACTAAAACACTAACAAATACAAGTCGATGCACATTTGCTTTAAACTAGTGTAATTCTTTTTCACATTGGATTAAACATTATTTTGTATACCAAACATTACAGTGCTGTTTATCTCCTCCAATCATGCAAAAAGTAGTTAAAATGTGCCACTTCTGCCACAAATAGAGTATGACCAATTCCCCTACATACCTTCCAAAAATCAGGACTTGAAATGAGAAAAACACAAGTACTAAAATCCTCCTTCAAAAACTTTATGAAGAAATGTAGACACAAAGCTGCCAATTAATACCAAGATGGCACAAATTACAGATTTGCACAGAAAGCTCGCATTATGTCAACTGACACTTCTCTCAGCCTCATCATTTGAAAGGCCATATCCTGCAAGGTCAGAAAGTGATGACTTCAAAATGATCCTGAACTTACAGCTCCCATCTACAAGAGTAGGAACAGTAGGTGTCCAGGAACTTTGAAATACTTGGTATTTAACACCTTCAACTCACATTGAGAATTTGAGGCAGTCAGCAATTTCCAGGATCAAGCCTTACAGAGGTAGAAGACTTAACTGGTGCAGTAATTCACAGAAGTTTCTAGAGAGCTGCCAGACAGCTTTCTGAAAATCTTCAAGTGTGAATCATGCTTTAATGCTTGCCTGTGAACATACATGAACTGCAATACGTCTGGGGACCAAAGTAGCGTCCAAATAGAATTCTCACTTAGGTTGTAAAATGAGCATCTTCATTAACTGAAGATAATCTTCTTCTTTAACTGATGCTGAAGAACGAACACAATTTTGTTCTGCAAAAAAGTAGGGGCAGGAATCACAGCACGCATGCCTTTTACTCTTGCTTTTTTGATACCTCCTCCCCTTTCCTCATTCCTCTGAGCTTCTCTGATAAACAGCATTGCAAGTTGGTTTTAAAAAAAAATTTACAGGAGAGAGTTCTGTTGGTCATCTATTTACATGTGGCATCACTCTACAAGAAGTTTGATCTCATTGGCTAATAGCTGGTTCATGTTGAATAGAGCCCCCGGGAGCTTGGTGAGCAACTCTCTCTCCGTGGTCTCAGGGTCGCTGTCGACAGAGCTGGAGCTAGCACTCATATTGTCGACAGCGGCACTAGCTGGAGGGCCCAGCTCTGGCTCGCTAGTCTCGCTTGCCGTGGACACCACAGAGAGCAAGGACATGCGCCGCGTCAAGCGACCGGGGGTAAGGAGAGAAGCGGCATAGTCCGCTATGATACCAGCTACATCTAGATTACAAGCCTTGTCAAAGGCAATGAAACCTACATTTGCATTGGCCTCGCAGACGTAGAATGAACCGTCGTCCTTCATCAGCAGGTCAATGCCGCACACGTCCATCCCCAGGATGTTTGACACTTGGACTGCCAACTGCTTGCCTTGTTCACTCAGTGAGCACATCATCCCTACACCACCTGAAAAAAATAAAAAATAAACAACCACAAACTTGCTGTCTGTAGTCTAGTCACAGGTGACTGACATCCTTCTCAACTGGTTGGTGCTTTTTGGTTGAGAAGCTCCAAACCAAGCCTGCAAGCACACTGCTGATGACTCAGAAAGCAAACTCCTTTCCACCATGACTACTAATGAACTTGAAGCCACAGCAGGATTTCAAAAGATAATCTCGACCTGCTTTTGGCAGGTCAGAATAACTTGTTTAAAAAACAGTTAAGCGCTAACTTTTTAGTCATGACAGATATGATACATTTTTATGATCCTGGGATATTAAAAAGATGACCTAACAATTTGTTCCTTGTAAGGTAGAAGCTTTCCATACATATTTCTAAATTATTGCAAGAAATCTTTCAGCAAAATTAAACCAAGCGTTCCCGATAACAGCTCTAACAGATATAATTGAGGGGGACAGGAGTTAAGACACTATCATCTGCTGCTGTCCCTCTCAGCTTGCTATCATAGGTTAAGAATTAGGGAACATTTGTGTCTGAACCTCAGCTGGTCCAGTTCACAGTTCATCTATTACCCGACTCAGAACTCTTCTATCACAACACTTAAGTTAAAAAAAAAAACAAACTACCAAACAATAACAAACCAAAACAGGATTTAGCAGAAAAAAATCTTTCAAGCTGTATTTCCTCAACACCAAGTAGTAACTAAAACCTCTTAGACATTTGGGGCATTTTGACTAACCAAAACTGTACTACACATGAACACATTTTATCCCATCCCTGCTCAGGTTCAGTACAGTTTCAGCCAAGCAACCTCAACTCTCCTTCCTCCTTCTAACCTCAGAAACCCCCCTGTCCTAACCCAAAGCTATGCAGAAACTCCGTTCTGAGTATGCTACAATCAATGCAGTAACCTTCCTCTTCCTCCCAGACATGGTCTTTGGGGGAAAAGGTTGCAGGAAGGAGCCTGACAGACTGAAGGCAGCACAGCAGCTACACAATGCAATCCAACTGTTTATTGCCTTTAACAGTTTCCTCCCTTAACACTTTCTTCTACTCTCTTTCCAACTGGCTGTCTCCTCCACCTTCCTCAGTCTCATCTTCTGTCTTCCTTCTTTTTCTGTTCCTCTTAACAGTATGAAATGAATGATAACATGGCATTAGCATGACACTGCCACTACTGCATCAGTTGTTCCTTTGTGTTCCCAGAACCTCCCCCTCCACCCCTTTTTATCTGTCCTATCCATTTAATACTTTGGGCAGAGATTCTCTCTCCTGTGTTTGCTCAACCCACATCTCATTTAATCCTCACTCTTGTGTTTCCTCTGTAAACCCCCAACAGTAAGCACAATTAATACAAAATAAAACCCGCAGCTTATTTCAGTTGGGTTTGTGATTCTTCAACTGGATTGAAAAATTCTGATAAAAGCTATGACCAATGCTTTTCCTACCAAGTGAGCAGTTACTCTGCATCCTCCCATCTGTTGAGCAGCGGAGCATGGTGCCCACCACACGGCCTCCTACTACGATGACACGTACATCCTTGCCATGGGACTCTTTAACATATTTTTGAAATAAGTAAGGGGCATCGTGACGGATCAAATGGCTTAGGTCTGCCAAATGGTGCTTGTCTCGTGCCAGGAACACAGCTTTACCTGTATGAAGAAAAGAATATCGGAAGATTGGAAAAAGCTACCAATTTGAGCTGCATCAATGATTCAGCGCATAAAAGTAAAACCTCTGACCAATATGCTGCCCATTCTCACAGGCCCCATCTGTAGCTTATATCCATTTACAAATTCATCTGTGGACATCAATGTTCTACTGCTTCAGTGCTTCTAAGCGTTCAAGTAAAGTAAAGTACTGCCAGACTTGAGGAGCCATATGAGGAGTAAATAAAACAAATTAAAAAAAAAAGAAAAAGAAAACAGCTTTAGATAAAGGAGGTGGTCTTGTAATTTCAACTCCTTTTGGTACAAGTCCTTAATGAGAGAAAAAAAGGAAGAAATACTTAAAGAGCAGCAAACATTTAATTAATCACAGTTTTGTTCATCTAAGAGGACTGGACCCACAGCCAACAGCTTTGACAGACAGGAACCAATGACATGAAACTTAAACATCAGGCAGCTAAGAACTCTGAAGTCGCTACTGTGCCGCTGAAGAACCAACTGCTTCTCTGTTGGGAAGCTGCTGAGAGCTGCTCTTCCCAATACTTAGAAGAGCTCACAGCTCCAGAATGAGGTTTTGCAGGGGAACAACTACGTTCAGAGGAAAACATTAGACTCCACAGTATCCAAGATAATTTAGCAGAAGATTCCACAAGACATAAAATGAATGGAATGTGCTACAATTTTGAAAAAAAAAAATCTTTAGAAATCACTAGCTTTTCTGCAAGTAAACATCTCAAGGATTTGTTTGGTTTAACCTAAAATATGTCATTTCATTCCCCTTCATTTCTAGAGCACACCAAAGACTTCTTTGCTCTTTTCCAATTTTACTAATACTGATAAAAGTCACTCCTAAAACACTCTACCACTTTCTGTCTCATTTCTAGTCTCACAAGGTGGCATCCCTCTCCATCTTCAGCTACATTTCCCAACTCCTCTTCCCCTTTCTTAAGGACTCTTTTATGTGTCATATTAATGTTTTGCAATAAGGCTGCACAGTATTTTTTTTTGTGGCACCCTGTCACTCAATTATGCTACAATGTTAACAGAGTACAAAAATCTATTGATAAACTGTCTATCTTAACTAAAGGAACAGAAATGCAGCAGTAGCAGAACTAGGACAAATAACAAGTAAAGAAGAATTCCGCCAAGTGCTCCAAAGCCCAACTGGAGCAGCGTCTGCTTCATCAGGATTTAAGGTCTCTGTAACACAGAACATTGTTTGACAAACACTGAATTTCTCATCACAGAGTATCAGAATGTAGGCTTAAAAATCATAGAATCATAGAATGGTTTGAGTTGGAAGGGACCTCAAAGATCACCTAGTTCCAACCCCCTCTGCCACGGGCAGGGACACCCTCCACTAGACCAGGTTGCCCAAAGCCTCATCCAATCTGGCCTTGAACACTTCCAGGGATGGGGCTGCCACAACCTCTCTGGGCAACCTGTTCCAGTACCTCACCACCCTCACAGTGAAGAATTTCTTCCTAACATCTAATCTAAATCGACCCTCCTTTAGCTTAAACCCATTACCCCTTGTCCTGTCACTACACTCCCTCATAAACAGTCCCTCTCCAGCTTTCCTGTAGGCCTCTTCAGGTACTGGAAGGCTGCAATTAGATCTCCCCGGAGCCTTCTCTTCTCCAGGCTGAACAATCCCAACTCTCTCAGCCTGTCCTCATAGGAGAGGTGCTCCAGCCCTCTGATCAGATTCCTGGCCCTCCTCTGGACTCTCTCCAACAGCTCCATGTCTCTCCTGTACTGGGGCCCCCAGAGCTGGATGCAGTACTCCAGGTGGGGTCTCACCAGAGCAGAGTAGAGGGGCAGGATCACCTCCCTCGGCCTGCTGGTCACACCTCTTTTGATGCAGCCCAGGACACGGTTGGCTTTCTGGGCTGCAAGCGCACACTGCCGGCTCACGTTGAGCTTCTCATCAAACCCTTCATGTACTTTCTCCCGTTCCCAACTTTAGCTCTCCTACAGGCACTTAATAATCCTACTGTATTCCTAAAATGGCATAGGAAATATGATGCCTTGGAGGGGAACTACTTAATTCTTAGGAATTCTGCAGCATCATGACATCTTGGCAAAAATAATATTGGCACATTTGCTGCTGCAGCAGCAAACTAGGCAGAAAATGGGCCTGGAAGAGTATTTTTATTCATCAGCCAGTACCTATGACCATGTTTGCCTGTTGTTTTTTTTTTTAAACACAATTTGCAAATGGCTACTCTTCAATTACTTTGAAAAAGTTTCCCCAACTCTCTTAATGTGAAAGGATATGAACTGTACATAAATTTGCATTAAACTGCCTGGAATTTAAAGTGCTCTAAAGCAAAACTTGTAAACAGAGATTTACATGAAGTCTGGCGAAAAAAAAAAAGAATGAGAAGAAAGTCAATACCTTCAAACTCTATAATTATTTGGTAGATCTTAACAAGAGCAGTGTCAAGTCAAATCCACTGTCTCAGATACTCCGTATTTGTCAAATTCAGCTTGCTGGAAAGTCAAATTCTACCTTGGCTTCATAGGTCCACAAGCACTTTAAAACCACATACACAGGTAATACTGCCAACAGAAGCAGGTCTGATCTTCCTCTGCCCCAGCCTTTTGTTCTCACTCTTCCATTACATCAACAGAAGCATTTGGGTAAGTAAGTGACAATTCATGTTAAGGAATTAATCCAAGTTAAAATAGCCCATCTAGATTCATCCAACATCAGTTCCTGAATCAATTTTACTACATGACTACAGAAACACTCATGCCAGCAGAAGAGATGCACCAGAACAGCGCAGAGTGGGAATAAACTGATGGACAAGAAGGAAGACGTCGTGTCTTTTCGTTATGCGTTTAAGGTAACTGCTGGTTTATGGGCTTAAACTTCGGTTTCAGTCTCTTTTTACTTCTAGTATTTATTAAATTGGTTTTAAAGTAAGTTAAAAACAGTGCAACCTCCTGTGCAAATAACCTCTGAAATTTATTTTAAACCTGGTTTCCCTTAGTAGATCACTAACTAACATTAAACTAAATTGATGTATTGTTTCATATGCAACACTTACTTAAAAGACTAATAATAGAACAATTTAATCTGAACCTGCTGTATTACCAGCACTGCCATAGGTATTTTTCTGGAAAACACAGATCCAGTTTCACAAACAATACATGAGATTTTATTTAAATCAGAATCCTAATTATATACAAATTAAGAATGAATAAACTAAGATGGCATTTCTTACGCTTATTTAGAAACATCCCTAAACTCCATGTAGGTTTCTCTCTACTTCCCTAAAGCCAGACCTTCCATTATTCCAGTTCAAAGCTTTCCTCACAAAAGTCACCAATACACCACAATTTTGACCCCCTATGCTCCCTGCTATTGCAAGACTAGGTTCTACCAAAACTGCTTCCCAGTGTTGCAGCCTACTCAACATTCAGAAGTCAAAGGGTGATAGAATTTAGATGTACCACAAAGTCCAACACCTAATAGAAGACCTTCTTAATTATCATCCCTTGATGAGACAAAAACTTAGAGAGTGCTGCTCAGAATCCTTGCCCTCACCCCTGACCTCACACCCACCTCGGTGACCCCGCGTGTTCTTCACCACCATAGGGAACTCCAGCACTTCCGCCTCATCAATCATTTTGGCAAAATTCTCATGACCACCTGGCAAAAAGAAAATCAACAACATTATGTCCCACCAATCTGGTGCAGCCAAATTGGGGATGTTATTGCCACACATTCCTCCCACCCTTTTGACTTAGATAATGCAGAAAAAAACTCAGTTAAGAGGAACTTGGTCATGGAGCACAGTCAGACTTTGAAGGTGTTTGTAATCTGTGGTATACTAACTCCTACTTCCTTTGAAACGGAAGACGTAAGTTGACAAAGGCCTCTTGATCACAACCCTAAAAGGTTCAATCCAATCTTCCAAACCTGAATGCCCCAATTCTACCATCTTGTTCCAGTTTATTCCTTTTACTTTAATCTACTCCCACCTTTTAAAATGTCTAGCAGGAAAATAACTCTGACGTAACACCAGTGACAGATGCATCCAAACTCCTAATCAGGAAAGCAACATGGAATACAAAGACAAGGTATAATCCAGAGACGAGCAACAACCCAAATCTTGTCACTCGACCTCCCCTCTTTCCAAGGCTTAAGTCTCCTGCATTTAATCTCCCTATTTCCTGAAGTAGTACTTCAACTTTTTCATCTCATTGCATCGGTAAGGACCTTAGAGAGTAGCTTTTAATGACCATTCACATGATTATGGTTGATACTTGACGGTTATTTGAGTTCAGTTCAATTCACAGAAGCCTGACCACAGTACAAGAAATACAGAAGAGAAAGTCAGCAGACAGAGGTATGAGACTCCTCTAACAGTATGTGCAGTAAAGTGCTGAAGTCAAGCCAAGACACTGGTCACAAAGCCAGCAGCAGCCATCACTACCCTGACATGGATTTTAATGAGTGGCATGGAATAACACGTCATTCAGCACATCCTGTTTTTCTTGGCAAAGCCAGCTCTCACTGATAACCTGATACTTGTATTTAAAAAAAAAAAAAATTTCATGCTTCTGTCAAATTCCAGAGGCAGGCATTAAAAGAAGTGGCAGGGAGTTGTGAACAGAGATGTTCTGCAGTTACCCCATCATTTGTGGTCTCCCCTTCCCTCCCAAAAAATTAACAACTCATTTCTTTCTCAAAGAGCTAGAACAACCACATCTATTAAAAAAAGGGCATGTTTCTTCTCAAATGTGTTTTCACAGTAATTGATGGAAATAATAATTCATAGTAATTGATGGAAACACATGGTTTTGTTTTTGTCAAGTTTGTTTGTGTTTTTATCAAGTTCCCATTACAAAAGCCAATTGGTGCAACCACACAAAAGGGAAGAAAGCACTGATATTTCCCAAGAAGGGAAGGAAGGCTGAAAGGTATCTTCAATTCTCTAATATATTGTAATTAAAAGCAGAAATAGCATCAGGATAGCTCAGACAAATGGTTCCTCTAATCCAGCACTCTGTCAGGAACCACAGACTCCAGAGGCAGGCACAAGAAATTTTAATAATTAACTGTTCTGATGCAAAACAACCCCCCAAAAATTGTTAAAATTTGCTAACGAGGGCCAGTACTCTTTTTGTCCTTTCACAATTACTAATATATTTGCAGATGATATTATTCATATAGAAGTTTAATCTACTTTCAGGTTTTACCAAACTCTAGATCTTTATATGACATTTAGTTCCCCAAGCTCTTGTATGTTGTTTCAGACAACTGGAAAATAGGTCAAAGTGTTTCACTAGTAACAGCCAAAGTTAGTTGCTTGGGAAGCTGAGGTACAATTAAAGCACTCTTCCCAAAGCATCACAGCTAATCACTGAAGCCAAAACCAGAATCTGAGTGTTGTGACTTTAATTTCCTATTCTGGTTACTGAACACTTATCTGTGGAAGTAGCCTCATGCTACTTAATTCTATGTATTTCCAAAACTTGACTCCTATCTTTTGCACTGCAAAAACATAACTTACAGTAGGCAACTATGCTATCCTTTTGATCCAAAAGCCTTACCATATGAAAAAGTGTCTGGAAGAGGGACACCATGACCAGCAAGTTCTTGAAACGTCCAGAACTTGTTGACACAGTTGAGGATGGCTTGGGGACGATTCATCAGTCGACAGCCCATCTTCTCTAGGTGGCGAAGGACTGTGATATCGCTGTCACTCTGGACCCAAGGTGTTGGTACACGTACAACCACCACTTGCGGGTAAGCAGTAACGAGCTCCCCATTCACCCGGAGACCTAAAGAAGGAAGAGAAAAACATTCCAATCAACTACAAGGTCTTCAGGAGAAGGTAAACAGGCAAAGAAATACTGCACTATATGGGATCACAACAGAGATACCAGACTTCAACAGTGTGTATTAAAACAGCACAAATGTCTCTAAAATGCCAAAGTAACAGAGATTAGATATGACCCTTAAAAAAAAAAAATTGTTAACACAGATGAATTCAACAATCTGATTTGTACTAAATAAGTACTCAGAAATAACTTTATCAGCTAACAGGGCAGCACCCCATGACATTAAGGCAGGAAGTAGAAGGAAAGCCAGCTTTGCCACCAAGACCGATGTATTACTTAATCATGACCTAGTTTTACAGACTACATCTCTGAAAAAAAACAACCAAAAAACTAAAAGACAGGCTGCAGGAATGGGAATACAATAGGTTTGGATGGGAAGGCATCAAGCTCAGTAAAGAGAATCTAGCATCTGAGGGTGGGAAGAGACAAATGGGATTTGATATTCACTTTATTTGCCTTAGGTTCAAAGTAAAACTTTCTGATTTCAGCATAAAATACACAGCTCACACTGCTGTCAGCACCTTAAGGGTTAAAACAAGAGAAAGAAGGTGAGCTGAGAAATCACAGTGCATCTGCATTTCTGTGCCTATGAAAGTCCAGCTGTAACAATGCAGATCTAGCCCAAATTAATTTAGCTCTATTCCAAAGATGTTACTTTTCAAATACAGACTTGCACCCACTCAACCTGAAGACACATATTGCCAGGCAATTTATTTCATTTCAAGGTGCATTTGAATTGGAGGGGGGGGTGGGGAGGGGGGTGTAGAGAAGGGAGGGTGTCCTCCTCTCTGTACTTCCCATTTTCTTTTCCCAACCAGGATATATTGTAGAGCTTGCCTTAAATATAGTGAAGCAACCACCCGACTCGCAAAATGGAAGTAGAAATATGCTGCCCAGTCCTCAGGAGGACAGAGCCACACTCTGGAAAGGCCAAAACAGAGCCACATGCAATACAAATCCCTTTTTCCAATCCCCATTGCCATAATTGCACAGAGATGAGAAAACATAAGCAGACGGGTGCTCTGGCTGCTCACCTCATTAGCACCAAGCACTGCCGCATTGCAGCTGACATGACTTGCGTGTTTAAGCAAGCAGGCTTCAGACACACACACACTCACCATTTTATGAAGGCATTTCAAGCAAGATTAAAAACAAGACAAGATTTTTAACTTATTGGACAGATTCCACCTTATACATGTATTTTCTCATTTAGGTGCACACCCAATTACACTTTTTGCCATTGTAATTGCATGCATGTCCTGATCCATGTGCAAGCTGTGTAACAATCATTTTTAAAAGGACTGCATTTTCCACAGAGGCCCAAAATTGCCACTGTATCTTTGTTGTGAACCAAAACTACATAATTTTCTAATTCATAATCTCTCAGAGCCCCTTTTGCTGGTTTGTTTTAAAGTCACACCACATGCTGAAGTTTTGCACCATGGAGTCTGAAAAACAGCAGTTTGAGCAGATGTATATGCCTCACCTGGAATTCTCCTGAATACCTGCATTAGACTTGACTATTAGACTGGTGTGAATTCAGCCAGACCACCATCTGCCCTGGAGTGACTTTGGAAGTACAATGATGTTATCAACAGAACAATCTGAGCTTTTGTTCCATATTCAATCATTTTCTCTGGTCTGGATACTGTTCTCCCCAGAACAAAAAAAATTTCTCTCCCCTCATAGAACACAGTTTACAAACAAAGAGAAGAGCTACTCAATGAAATGTATGATTTGAATCACTACTACCGACACGCGCCATAAAAATTAGCTGCAGTCTCCCAGCAACACAGTGCTGCAAACAGAAGCAACTTTACTACAGAAAAAAGGAGAGCCAGATTCTGCCATTTTGGAACTTGTATTCAGCATTCCATCTGAGACCCAGCAGTTAAAACTCAAATTAATGGTGACTATTGGCAAGTGGGCTGATAAAATAATATTTATTCACTATGATGTGCTGAAAGCAGTAACACAGAACATATTAATGCATACAATTAATTTATTTTCCAAAGAAGCAATTCGTGAATGCAAAGAGGGAGAAAGTAAAAATTACATGTTACAGAGATGTTACTTATAGAGTGGTTAAGAGGCAATCAAACTCTTTTTTAAAATGGAGATGAACTCTCTTTTCTTTGCAGTAATAGTACCATCCTGGTCCCAGAACAGTAGCAGTGAGTTACTTTCACAGTTGCCTGTGGACAATGAACCGCCCTCATAAACACACAGAAGGCACATGTTCAGATCACACAGAAGTAACCTGACAAATAACCAGTTGGTCCATTTGTTGGCTTTCTCAGTGGATGCCTGTGACATTGCAGACACAACAGACAGTTATACAGTCCTTTGAAGTATGAATACTGAGAGCCAGAAAAGGAAGATTTCATGTTCATCTAATACTATGAACATATAACAACCATTTTACCAGTGCCTGGGGAACAACTTCTCTTACATTTGAGTATTCTTTGACCCTATGAGATAAAGACTCCTGAGATGGAATATCTCACTATGAAAACAGATGTAAATCCTGCACTTGAACAACACCTGTTCTTTCACTCAGTACCAGCTTTCTTTGCTCTTCCTCTGCAATATGAAACTCTCCAAAATGGAATATGGTACACCTTTAACATTATACATGACAGTATTTCAGGTGAAAGTGCAAAAGGAATTTTTGTAATGCAAACTGTCATCACTTGGTAACAAACTTGACCAGCTAAACCAAATCCCTCAAATAAAGCTGAAAGCCTCGGGTTTCTCTCAAAGACAGCTCAAAGCAGCACATGATAGAACTGAGTGGGTAAATGCGTGATTCCTCATCAGTTGTCCCAATCAGTCTTGCTGCTTTTCATTCCCAAAGAACAGCAGGTGAGCTTAAAAGTGCAAAGTAGCTGGTCTCTGCTAAAAAGGCTTATTTTGACCCAAACAGATTAGAAGCTGTCACATGAACCCATGAAGTCCACAGAAAATGGATGCAGTCTTAAACTATAATGAAGACAGAAGAAAAAGGCAGAAACTTCTACTGCTGTTACCACTGAGATCAGAAGACATGTATCTACACCTTAAGAAAGTTCTCAACACAGTAACACCTAACATGGTATTTACATAGCAAGATACTCAGGATGACAGTTGCGTCTCGACACCCTGATTTAGTACACTTTTAGGGTGGATGCACATACGTTGGAAAAAACACAAAATTCTGGAACCTCTCAGTCCTCATTCATGCATGTGGGGTTTTTTTTAGTCCCTTCTGTCTTCTTCTCTATGACGAATTTATCTCACAGTTACAATTTCTCAATGAAAAAGCCTCACTTTTAAGAGTTAGGTGGCACACATTCCAAGTGAAAAGCCTCAAAATACAGACATACATACAAAACCAAGTTATCCCAACTTAAGTTGCTGCCCATCAACTAAGACTCCTAAAATGACTATGTGCTTATTCCCACCCTACAGCAAAACACAAGGCAAAATGCTTGACCTTGAGCCTCATTATTGTAGAATCCCTTCGCTGAATCTCACTACACAGCTGGGACAAGCTAAGTGCCCAAATACAGGCTTTGTAACAATATCCCTTAAAGCCTGCAAGCCAAAACACACTTCTGCAAGTCAATCGCAACCACTGCCAGAGTGTGTAAATTCTTAAAACTGCAGCCTCACACCTCAATCCATAAGCACTGGTGCTTCATCTACCCAGTTATCCTACTTCCTTGTGTTTTAGAAGTTCTTAAGAAGCACTTCTGCATTAATGGCATTATGGATGGCTAAAAACAATCAAGACTTCAAGAAACTGTGTGCGGCTTCTGAACATTTTAATTCACACCCAAGCAGCATTTTAAATTGCTAGACATTTTTAAAACTCATTCTATTCAGTTTGCACTGAATAGTTTACACAAATCCCTTCTAACCTCTTCAAGAATCAGTTCATTCGTAGATTAATAGCTACTGCAAAGCAATATCTCATGTCCAGTTTGCATATTATGAACAATTGTACCTTCAGCTGAAACAATGCAAATGTTTTCACAGAAGGAACACAGTTTCAGGAGACAGGTCTAAAATCTCAAAGATCTGCAAGGACATAAAAAATAATTACAGAGCTTTTATAGCTCTCATTATAGCAAACATGAGGCATTTTTAACAAAAATAAATCTCACTAATATCAAATAAATTTATAAAAGTATTTTCATTCCAAATAATAATTTTGGAAAACAGTCAAAACAAAGCAAACTGAGTCACCAAGACCATGAAGTACTTAGGACTCAAATTCAGCTCTTCAACTATAGCATGTGACCATAAGAACCACAGCCAACTTCTTCAATAAAATGGTATGATACAAAGCTAAATGCTTAAAGTATTTAATACACAAGCAGAAGGGGATCTGGGTAGGCTTACATGTAAATCAAATTACTGATATCAAGCTTCTATTTTTATACAATTTGAATCATCAGCATTATTTGATAGACTATGACAGAGGAAAAGACTAAAGTAGCCAGAAACGTCAGAAGCTTTAGCCAGGGGAAGAAACTCAAAGGACACTGACATAAGAGCAATGAAGAAGAAACTTTCTCAGGGAGAAATACTACATTTACATTTACTTCTATAGGTACATTAGAAAAACCTAAATCAGTGAACAGGTTTCTATGATGAAAAACACCAAGCCTTTTAATCTGTGCCTGAAAACAACTGATAACTACCTTGCTACCCATGAAGTTCATGGCCTATCACATCCCGTTTCTGACCAAATGCATCAAAAAAACAGGAATGACACACAAAAGGTGGGTTTTGCAGAAGTTCCCTCCATTCAGTGGTGCCATGAATCCAGCAACATAAAACATTCTAGTCATTAAGTCTTCTTCCAAACTGACTTCCAAATGTATACATTTCACAGAATTTATCTGAAAATGGTGTGACTATGAGAAGTACCCAAACGTGACAACAAAGTTAAATTAT